GCAGCTTTCTAGTACATAAATTTTTGTTAGAAAGCAACGAGAAAACAATAGCCCATCAGAATTATGATTATGATCTGAAAATCCAAGCTGTAAGAAAATTGCCCAAAACAAATCCTAAATTTTAATCATAACATATTTTTTTTTATTTTAATTTGAAATAGGTGTAATATGTCAAAACGTAATTAAATTTCCAAATTAAAAATTTGAATTGAAAATTAAAATTTTATATGTGTAAACTACATGCTGTCTATGGAGAAATTATTATGTGCGGATGTTGGACGGTTTGGAGACCAATTAGAACACATCGTATCATCTGGTACACAACAGTATCGAGCACCAGTACCGAGCAAAAAAATGACATGGCAGGTTCTGGCTAGTCTCCGGACACCGTCCTGGATCCGCACAGAATAATTTTTGTTGTCTGTCTATGATATGCTTCATTAGTTTCTCTCATTACAGCTCTTCTTTTCATATCTTTCAATCTAATTTGTATATTATTTTCAATGAAAACTAACAGGTATTGGGGCCAATAATCTCCTTCCTGGCATCAAATGGTTCACCATTGTTAGTCAATGTGTACCCTTACTTTGCTTATTCTGGGAACCCAGGACAGGTCAGATTAGACTACTCATTGTTCCAAGCAAGTGGTGTGGTGGTTCAAGATGGTAGTCTCGGCTACTCGAACCTCTTCGATGCGATGGTTGACTCAGTTTACTCGGCTTTACAAAGACTCGATGGGTCTGGGGTCGATGTCGTCGTATCAGAGACAGGATGGCCATCAGCCGGCGGCGAAACCGGAGCCACCGTCGATAATGCGAGGATTTATAACAATAATTTGGTGAAGCATGTGAACAAAGCTGCTGGGACTCCTAAGTTCCCAGGGAAGCCGCTGGAGGTTTATATGTTTGCCATGTTTAATGAGGATCAGAAGCCTGTAGGAACAGAAAGGAACTTTGGCATGTTTTATCCTGATATGACTGAGGTTTATCATGTTGATTTTTAGTTATTTAGTTTATGTAAAGAGAAAAAGGAGATGGATTGGAGATTGATGGGTTGTGATTTATTTGATTTCGGATATTTTGTTATAGTTTTTTGAGTTTAATGGACATTATTGATTTGATTTCCTTCAGCCTAATCTCTGCTTATTTGCTTGAGCAAAGTTATGAATTCACTCTATCAGCGTTTATCTATTTAGGGCATGTTTGGGATGATCGTAGTTTTTCATATAAGATAATGTAAAACTCTTATGGAAAATCAGCTTTTTTTAAAGCTGTTGTTAAAAAAAAGAGCTTTTTAGTATAAAATTTTTTTGAAAACAATGAAAGTTAGGAGTGAAACAGAAATACAGTGATATGAAAATCAAAGTTATCCCAAACATACTCGTAATGTTAGTTTATCTTATCTTAAATCGAGCAAAAAGCTAAACCAAGTCGCGCGGAGGCCGGACACAGAACTCCTTCCGGAGACCAACCAGAATGCGCTACATCGGCGGTACCGAGCCGCAGTACCGAACGAAGGGGTGACGTGACGTATTCTTGTTGATCTTTGGACGACGTTTGATATCCGCACAGAATAATTAATCTGTTATCATGTGGTAATGACAAGATATTCAAACTAGTGGCTTTGTAGTACTTTATCTTGCGGCTCGACCTGTGAGAGCAGTACTCGAATCGCTCAAACTGTCCCAAAAAAAGTACTTTATCTTTCAAAATATTTTAAAGATTTTGATGCTGTTTTGATTCATGAGAATGTAATCATAAGTTTTTTAGGACAAGTATTTGTCACAGGTCCTTTGTTTATTTTCTGCAGTGATGAATTGCTTTGTGAACAGAACATTATTACATTAAGCGCACAGATTCTGCATTAACATTTAGGAGCATTGTAATCAAGCAATAACAAATCATAATGAGCTGTTGATTGCGTGAATTCGTTATTCACATAAGGGCTTCTTTTATGATAGTTTTCTTACTTTTTTTTAAACAAAATTCTTATGTAAAAATTTCTTAGAAGCGGCAAAAAATTTGTGATCAAAAGCTATCCCAAACAGAGCCATGATATCAAGTTTAAACCTGTAATCAAATTCATTTGCCATTCAAGAATCTCAGCTTTACTGATTCCAACAGGCAGCACCATTTACTCTTTTTCATTTCTCTTCTCTCGGGTTCCTCTCCTTCATGGCTACTTTTTCTTCCATTTTCTCTAACATTTTTCATCAATTTGGCATCGTAGGACACAAATTTGAAACTTTGATAGCACAATTAGATGTCTAAGGGGAGGAGAATGATCGTGGATTAACAAAATAGCAAGAGTACTGTCTCTAGTAAGTTTATGGCTGATGTTTCAGTTATGAACTTGTAATTGATTATTGTGGATGACTAAGATGTTGGTGTTGTAGAAGTAGAACATGTGAATTTTGTGTTGATGGACCTTGGGGTGCAAGTGAGCCCTGCCGGCTCGAGCTCGACTCATTAACGAGCTAGTTGGCTTATTTAGTACGATCAAGCTAATGCCTAGCTCGATTACTCGCGAGCGGGCTCAGATGAGAAATCTTGGGGGGCAAGAAGCGGGCTCAGATGCGAAATCGCAAGGGCAGGAAGGCGGGATAGCAATGCAAAAAGACAAATTTGAAGGGACTGGACATTGGACGCAAGTGGAATCGAAGCTCGCACGCGATACGTAGGGCAGAATCTCTCTGACATGTGATGCAGGATAGAAGTGGACACGAAATCAAACTCGAACCACATAATCGAGCCGCTCGACGAGCTTGTTTAAGTGGCGCAAGCCGAGCTCGCCTTCTAAGCTAGATCTACTTGAGTTTAACCTCAATATTTCGCTTGTTGGTCGAGCTCCAGTTAGGTCTGACTCAAACTTGACTTGACTCGTTTGCATCCCTAGATGGACCCAATAAACATAATACTTAGGATATGTTTGAGATAACATTCTTGTTGCTTTGCTTTTTAGACAACAATTCTAATTTTCTTTTACTAATATTACTTCCTCGCTTTTTTCTAGTTACTTTCTCATTATTATTATATATATAGATAATGGAAGCTGCCTTTTTACAACTAGAATAATTAAATAATTTAATCCACAACAACTTCAAACTTAACTTCATAAAAATCTAAAACCTTCCAAAGGAACCCTTAGACGTTTCATCTTTCAATTATTCAAAATTTTTGAAGCAGTTGATTGCATCAAAGAGAGAGAGAGAGAGAGAGAGAGAGAGAGAGAGAAAGAGAATAAGAACAGCAAAGACACCATCCAGCATGAAAGATTGAGTAAACAAGGCCACCTTCTAGCAACCCAGAACGTCATGCAGAAATGGCCACCAAAGCCCTATCTATCCTTTGCGTGACTCTCTTAAGCCATTCGACTACATCGCACATGCACTGCATGGAATTTCAAGCACGCTTGCTCGGCTTTACGTGAGCACTTGCGACTCTGTCCGGACTTCACGAGCCACGTTGCGTACGTTGCCGACAAGTCTTGATGAACCCCTTCTCTTCAAATGCTTTCAGCAGCCATGAAAAAAAGAAGATTCCGCATCAGTCTTATCTTTGATATGGCGTGAAAGAAAAAATAAAATGAGATAATATTTTACAATCTTTGAGAAATTATTATGTGCGGAGCCCGAATATTAGGGGTGTCAATTTTTTGACACAACCCGAAGCCTGACCTGGAAAAATCCGGTTTCAAAAAAAAAAAAAAAAGGATCGGGTTCGGGTTGAGCAACAACCCGGAGTTGACCCGTTTTGCCCATCGCATACCGGCCTATCGCGTCGCGTCGCCCAATCTGGTCTAGCCGTCTACTCGTGACGGCGGTCAGGCTGTCGCGTCGCCCTGTCGTCGCTATGCAAGCTGAGGCTGCTCTAGTGCTCTACCACTCCGCCTAGCCATGCAGGGTTCGCTCGAGTCACGACACCTCGACCAGGTTAGGTCCGCCTCGACCTCGCCATACTATGGTTGCTCCGCCTCGGCCTCGCCTCGCGTCACCCAGACAGAACCACAGCGCTAATTCACTGCCGCCTCAACCCACGCTTGTTCCGTTGTTTGCATGATCGCAACAATTTTCGCTGGTCGGGTTCGGGTTCGGGTTGAAAATCTGTACCCGTTTGTAAAATCGGTTAGGATTTTGGTTGACCTGTTTAGACCAGGGTCAACTCGGGTTCGGCCTGAGCCTCACCTTTTTGACACCCCCACCGGACATAAATCGTGTTCAAACTTCAATAAAATCAAGTAATGTTGCTTATACACATTATATGCATAACTTATACATAGGGTGTGTATACTACACACCCTATGTACAAGCCACGTAACTCATCCAAACTCTGCACACAATAATTTCTTGCAATCGTGATATCTTCGATCTTCACCCTTCTTGACAAGCACATTGAAAGCTTCAATGGATCATCCATGACTTGGGCATCCTATGATAAAGACCCGTTAGACAATTTAATTTAGTTATTGAAATATCAAAAGAGAAATTATGAGATGAAAAAGTGGCTGCTCATCATGAATATATTCATTAAACATGGCATCTCTATAATATGCATATATTATTTATAAAATGAATAATTAAAGTTGATACATACGTATGAAACTTGAATCATGCACCATGATTACTCTAATTTCAATTTATTTGAAATATATATAAAAAAATAGTTATGACTTGAACAAAATTTGATTCAAATTATAATTAACTCAACTTATATATATGTATAAACATATAGGAGCTTTTAAGCTTAAGCTATATACTCATATATGTCTTGACATATATTTATCAGGTAGTTAGCAGATTATAGGGGGATGACTCGCATCGGATAAGCCCTATAGAGAAACTCGACGAAGGAATAGTAGGACCCACTCTCACAGGTCTACAAAGGAAGGTTTGCCCCTCTTAGGGCCAATGGAGGACCTCGTCGACCAAGTCACTCCTTACTCTAAACTCACTCGCAGACTCGGCCACTCTACTCAGTACTATCAAACTTGCCCACACTATAGAACTCGCCTAAGTGCATACTCGATGTTATTGAGTTTGTAAAGAGATAAATTATCAAACTACAATCCTCGCTCTCCCTCAGCTAGCCAGCCTAGAGGTGACATGTGTCTAGGATAGTCTTTATAGGGTTGTACTTTTTATTTTTTGGGGGGTTTAGCCTTTCCTATAGCTATCAAATTACTATAAATAAGATATAATGAGGAGCGTTTTGACTCTTCTACATCTTTTGATATTTTTGTATTAATTTAGATTCTAAGTATTTCATCACCCTTAGTTATAGTTTTCTCAAGCGTATTTCTCTTTCTCTCCATTCTCACGTACACCCGTTCAATTCCAAAATCATTCCTCTAAGGGTTTACCTGTCATAAATGGGTGTCATCCATTAATAAATTTGAATCCAATATAAGGCATGCATTAAAAAACAAAAATTCTCTTACAAGAGTTTGTTTGCCAAATTATATAGGGTTGACATCAACTTTTGCTTCCTTTTGGCAACCTATCAAATCAACCCGGACCCGACCCGTTTTTGCAAACGAGTCGGTTTTCCGGGTTCGGGTCAACCCAAACTCGAAAATTCCGGGTCGGGTTCGGGTCGGATTTTCAGTTCGAGTCCAATATTGACAGGTCTATTCCTCTCCTTCATCGCTACTTTTTCTTCCATTTTATGTAATATATTTCATCAATTTGGCATCGTAGGATACAAATTTGAAACTTTGATAGCACAAATAGATGTCTAAGGGGAGGTGAGTGATGGTGGATTAACAAAATAGCAAGAGTACTGTCTCTAGTAAGTTTATATAGATAATGGAAGCTGCCTTTTTACAACTAGTATAATTAAATTATTTAATCCCCAACAACTTCAAACTTAACTTCATAAAAATCTAAAACCTTCCAAACGAACCCTTCGACGTTTCATCTTTCCATTAATCAATAAAGAGATAAATTATCAAACTACAATCCTCGCTCTCCCTCAGCCAGCCTGGAGGGTGACATGTGTCTAGGATAGTCTTTATAGGGTTGTACTTTTATTTTTTGGGGGGTTTAGCCTTTCCTATAGCTATCAAAATACTATAAATAAGATATAATGAGGAGCGTTTTGACACTTCT